TACTACATCCCCTTTCCCTCCTGGTATCGCCACTGTCACCCCTGGTCCTGAGAGGTTCTTCTGTCCTAGATTCCCTGTGTTTCCAATTCCCATCTGTACCGCTGTGCATCATCTGGTCTAACCAGGTCTGCAAGGCAAAATTGGGGTCCTGGTGACAATAATTTTTATTTGGCAAAACAAAGAGTTAAATGCTTTTACTGGTTACCCCAAACTGTACCGGAATAATGAGGACAACAAATGTATTCAGCAGTCCCCGAAACCCACCAGTCTGGAGGTCACTGCTAGGCCAAGAGGTCTGAGGGCATGAACGACTTCGGGGTTGTTCCAACCTCAGTCAATCCCGGCAGTGCCCAATGGATGCCTGGGCCCGTGACTTCTTTCACTGCCCCCTTGGCACCCACCTTGGCCTTTGTGCGATGCGCTGGGCCTCTCCATCTGGAGTCTCCAGCTGCCACAGGGGTACAGATTCATCTCCTCGCATTGTCTGCTTACACTTCCCCACCCCTCTATCTTTCTGAACTAAGTACTTTTATTCTCTGGAATCATGCAACTTTGAGATATAAGTGAAAATTGACTCAAAATAAGAGCAGTACTTTTGAACTATTTGCAACGATTATTTATATATATATATATATATATATATATATATATATTTTTTAAACCCCCCCAAATGAAGTCCTCCCCAAAGCCCAAATATATACAATAGATACACAGGATCACAAGACTTCTCAGCATGTCGAAGTCTTCCTCATTTGGTGGAATGTAGACCCTGGCTTGGGAACTTGGTCAATACTCAAGGGCAGGTTCTTTGGGTCACTGTTTGAGAACTTCTGTCGGGTTCTCAGCAGCTAACTGGATCCCTTTAGGAGAGGCTGGATGCTTACCTCCATGGCCCGGGGCGCCTGGCAGTCCAAAGGGCCCTTCTTGGCCGGGAGCTCCTGGAAATCCGTGCTGCCCGGGAGGGCCAGGCAGTCCTGTCTGGCCTGAAGGTCCTGGGAACCCTGGCTGTCCCTTCAAGCCTGGCATGCCAGGCATCCCCTGGCTTCCTGCAGGAGCCAGAGATCAGACAGGTGAGGCCAACTCTATGCGTTTGAGTACAACCACTATTACGTGATAGTCGTTTTTAATTTTAACAAATTATTTTATTGGGGGCTTTTATAGCGCTTATAACAATCCGTACATCAATTGTATCAAGCACATTTGTACAGATGTTGCCATCATCATTTTCAAAACATTTTCTTTCTACTTGAGCCCTTGGTATCAGCTC